AGGACAGTTGGCTTCGTCTTTCTCTTATTTCCGAATCAGTCCCGAGCTAACACTTAATACCTTTTACCTAGAGGGGACACTCGATAGCATACATTTTAATTAATAGTTATGATCAAAAGGGTTCCTTCTTTATTAAATATTAAATTCAGCATATTGGACATGGCACTGATTTTGGATAGACATCAAATTATAAGTGGCATATTAGAAACGTGTATGTTGGTTTTTTGTAACTTTTTAATTTCGTGTATCCCCAAATATCAAGTCTCTGAGCTATATTTATTGCCCAAAACTAACTCTCAGAAAGCCAAATTGGCAGGCCTGGAACTTTCACTGTTCATAATGGCTGATTCCAAAGGCAATATAGGTTCATTCAACTAATGGGTTTGTTGCATTTCCTAAGTATATTGCATCTGCTGCCAGTAAATCCTATAGAACATTCTTCATGATGTTTTACAACCCTTAAAACTTCTAAACAGCCGGGCAGTGGTGCCTTTAATTCCAGCACTCGGGAGGCAGAGCCAGATGGATCTCTGTGAGTTCGAGGCCAGCCTGGTCTACAGAGTGAGATCCAGGACAGGCACCAAAACTACACAGAGAAAACCTGTCTCAAAAAAAAAAAAACAACAAAACAAACAAACAAACAAAAAAGACTCCTAAACAACCAAGGGAGGGAAGTTTTATCATCCAGATTTTCATAAGAAAAACAAGGCATCAACAAGTCGTGTTCAAGGTTATTAACTGCGTAGTATTTACAGGATGATAAACCAGGTCAGCTGATCCCACTCCTCCATTGCCACACAGGGAGACAGTTCCACCTCGTTGCTTCCTAGGGAACTCCTCCACAAGCCTGAAAGATACTTTATTTTTCTTGTTATTTATTTATGTATGTAGAGGCAGAGTCTCACGCTATAACCCAGGCTAGCCTGGAACTCACTTTGTAGCTTGGGCTGGACTCATACTTGTGGCAATCCTCCTGCCTCAACCCTCTCTGCCTACTAAAATTACAGATAGTTACCACCATCCTCAGCTGGGAAGTGCTGTCTGTGCCAGCATGAGGACCTGAGGGTGGATCTGGAAAACGCCAGGTCCGGCATACAGCGGCAGCCTGTGCTTGTATCCCAGCTGCAGAGACCGGAAGATCCCTGGGGCTTGCGGGCCAGACCGTCTAGTAGGTTACTTAAAGAGAAAAATAAATGCATTAAGAAAAAACAAGCTGGGGGTCGGCTGGAAAGGGTCCGCCCCCTTGCCCTTCACGTTAACTTCACGTGGAACCTGGCTGTGGACCCTGGTACTAAACCATTTGTAGACGACCTGCTTCTGGTTCACAACTGTCTGTAACTCCAGTTCCAGGGGATCTGACACCCTCACACAGGCATCTATGTGGGCAAAACACCAATGCACATAAAATAAGAATAAATTAAAAAAAAAAAGGAGCCGAGCAGTGGTGGCACATCCCTTCAATCCTAGCACTCAGGAGGCAGAGGCAGGCAGATCTCTGTGAGTTCGAAGCCAGCCTGGTCTACAGAGTGAGTTCCAGGACAGCCAAGGCTACACACACAGAGAAACCCTGTCTCAAAAAACAAAACAAAACCAAAACAACAACAACAAACCCCACGGAAAACAAACAAAAACCACTTTAAGGGGCTGGAGAGACCGCTCAGCAGTTAAGAACGCTCAGCAGTTAAGAACACCGGCTGCTCTCACAGAGGACCCGGGTTTGGATCCTAGGACCTACAGGCCTGCTCACAAAGGTTTGTAATTCCAATGCTAGGGGAGGTCACTGAATGCATGTGGTGCACACTCATACACATGTGGGCAAAGCATCCGCATACATAAAATTTAAGAGAAAATACAATTTAAGAGAAAAGAAAAACATCTAAGAGTACCCTCTCCCACTTCCCACCCACGAACAGGACCCGTATGCTTGTGGGAAAGTCACTCATATTAAAGCATTACTGTTTTAAACAAAATATTTACTGGGAACACTGTCTAAGGATTTTTTGTTTGTTTCTTTGTTTTTTGTTTTTGTTTTTGTTTTTTGAGACAGGGTTAATCTGTGTAGCCCTGGCTGTCCTGGATCTCACTCTGTAGACCAGGCTGGCCTCGAACTCATAGAGATCTGCCTGCTGGGATTAAAGACATTCGCCACCACTGCCCGGCTCAAGGTCCCCCCCCCCCCCCAGGGTTTCTCTGTGTAGCTTTGCGCCTTTCCTGGAACTCCCTCTGTAGCCCAGGCTGGCCTCGAACTCACAGAGACCCGCCTGTCTCTGCCTCCGAGTGCTGAGAGATTAAAGGTGTACACCACCACCGCCCGGCTCAAGGATGTATTTTTCAACAGGAAAACAACAACAAACCCCATACAATAGCATTGCTTACAAACCTAAAGAACTGAATCCACCTGTCAAAGTAACCAATTGTTACCAGTCACCAATGGGCAAAACACACTTCTCCTGAGAAGTACATGACCCAGCTCGTCGGTGTTGGGCGGCCAGTTCAGCTATGCCGAGGAACACAGGTAAGCGGTTAGCGTCAGGCTAAGGTAAGGAGTTCGCTTAGTGTGTGCTGTTTCTCCTGTTGGGAGCATAAACTTGGACATTCAATGTACTGTTTAAAAGTTCAGGCGCTGGCGAGGTGGCTCAGTGGGAAAGAGCACCGCTGCCCTTGCAGAGGATCTGGGTTTGATCCCCCGCACCCACATGTCGGCTCACAGTTGTCTGTGGCTCCGGGGAATTTGGCACCCTTTCTTCTGACCTCCAAGGGCACTCCCACCCCCCACCCCCACCCCCCCACATAAATAAGACACAAGTTCCTTTTTTTTTTTTTTTGGTTATTCGAGACAAGGTTTCTCTGTGTAGTTTTGGTGCCTGTCCTGGATCTCGCTCTGTAGACCAGGCTGGCCTCGAACTCACAGAAACTGTGAGTGCCGGGACTAAAAGCGTGCGCCACCACTGCCTGGCAAATTCTTTTTTTTTTTTTTTTTAATTAAAATTAAAATTAACTGCAAGAAGATCACTAAACTCATTTATCTCTGTAAAAATCTCGAACTGCCTCACTGTAATAAATCTCATAGTTCCTATTAGTGCCGAGTTACTAATGAGAAAAACTAATTAAGAACTCCAACTAAAATAGATTACATTCATTTTAAAATATTTTATTATTATTATTATTGTTGTTGTTGTTCTTTGAGGCAGGGTTTCACTGTGTAGCCCTGGCTGGCCTCGAACTCACAGAGATCCACCTGCCTTTGCCTCCCGAGTGCTGGGATTAAAGGCGTGCGCCTCCGCCGCCGGCTTTAAAAAAAAATTCTATTTTTATTTTTTTGGGACAGGGTCTCATTGTGTAACCCTGGCCGGCCTGGCAACCCTGTGTGGAGCAAGTTGGCCTACGAATTCAGAGAGTCTCTTGCCTGAACCTCCTGAGTGCTGTGATTTTTTTTTTTTTTTCACTTTTTTGTTTTGTTTTGTTTTTTGAGCTAGGGTTTCTCTGTAGCTTTGGAGCCTGTCCTGGAACTCACTCTGTAGCCCAGGCTGGCCTGGAACTCACAGAAATCCACCTGTCTCTGCCTCTCGAGTGCTGGGATTAAAGGTGTGCACCACCTGACAGGCCACATTCATCTCTCCTTAAAACTTCGTCTTCAAGGAGTCCTGAGAAATGGCTCAGTGGGTTAGGACTGGAGATGGTGCCCAGCATCCAACCGGGTGACTCACAGCCACCTGTAACTCACACACATATCGTGCAAAGAAAATAAAACTTTAAAAAAAGAAAGTGTGGGGGGGGGGGCTGGAGAGATGGCTCAGCGGTTAAGAGCACTGGCTGCTCTTCCAGAGGTCCCGAGTTCAATTCCCAGCACCCACATGGTGGCTCACAACCATCTGCAATGAGATCTGGCGCCCTCTTCTGTATACATAATAAATAAATAAATCTTTAAAAAAGAAAAAAAGAAAGAAAGAAAGAGGGGGCTGGAAGGATGGCTCAGCGGTTAAGAGCACTGGCTGCTCTTCCAGAGGTCCTGAGTTCAATTCCCAGCAACAACCATCTATAATTCGATCTGGTCCCCACTTATGGCACGTAAGCAGAATACTGTATACATAATAAATAAATCTTAAAAAAAAAAAAAGAAAGAAGAGAAAGTAAAAAAAATGAGAAGAAAAAGTGGAAGACTGAAAAATTAAGAAGAAGAAATAAAAGGATGGAGGGAGGATGGGGAGGGGGAGGATGGAAGGAGCTGCCTGTTATCCCGGAGCTCCACCTCGGCGCTTCCCATTGGTTGGCGGAGGGCACATGACCTCTGCCAACAGCTTGTTGGAGCGCATGCTTCTGAGCAGTTGGGGCTGGAGCCGCGGGCTGCAGCGGGGCCAAGGCCAAGGTGAGGAGGCGTTGAGAGCCCCGCTGAGAGGTGTAAAATCCCAAGTTGCTTCTCAGAGGAGCTCTGGCCTTGGGAGCCTGGGGCCAAGGCCCCCTCCAGCCAGTAGCCATTTTTAAAACAAAACTTCCCTGCATGTCTGTCTGTCTGGGCACTACTATGTGTACCTGGTGCCTGTGGAGGCCAGAAGATGATGTCGGATCCCCTGGAACTGGAGTTATAGATGGCTGTGAGCTGCATCTGGGTGCTGGGAATTGAACCTGGATCTTCTGGAAGAGCAGTTGGTTCTCTTAACCGCTGAGACATCCCTCCAGCCTCTACAACCATAATTTATATCCCTTTTCCCTATTCCTGAAGCGTTTGGGAGTTCTTTATCGACATTGATTCTTTACAAGGTCCCCAAAGTGCCCATGAATCTTTGACACTCAGTGTTGCTTAAAAGCAATCTCGACACTTACATGGCTTGACCTATACCCTATTTCATAGGAAGGGAAGAAGAAATAAACACAGTTGCATCACACACACACACACACACACACACACACACACACACACACACACACGGCATGGAGGTGCCTTTACAAAGTCCATGGCTCCCCGAAACACTTCTGTTCTCACAGGTCACAGAAGGCTTTCCCAGCCTGAGGAGAACAACACTGACCAGAACCAGCCAGAAGAAATCCAGTCAGTGACCATGCAGCTGAGACAAATTGGGGACAGTGTCCATCGCAGGATGATTCAAGAGGTGAGACCACAGTGTACCCAGCAGGGGACTGTCAGGATGGATGGAGAGAGGGGGAGACAGAACAATGGCTGCCAGGTAGCCAGGGTGCCCAGAACTCATGGATTAATGGTGTGCAGGTCACCAAACACTATACCTACAAGCTATGACCCTGGGGCAAAGCCAGCCTTTGGTCTCCTACCTGTACCTCACACTGTGGTCCATGACCCTGGGGCAAAGCCAGCCTTTGGTCTCCTACCTGTACCTCACACTGTGGTCCATGACCCTGGGGCAAAGCCAGCCTTTGGTCTCATACCTGTACCTCACACTGTGGTCCAAGGACAGTTGGCACAGCATCTCTGGGCAGCTGATGTGCCGTGACTCAGGCCACAGCCGGCACCGGCAGCGGATGTGTCTCTTCATGTATTCTGGGGGGAATCTGTGAGGCTCCCTCTTCTCCAGTGACTCTGGCCGGTGTCAGTGAGAGATGCTAAGGGACACTAGGGTGGACTGACGGGTACTGTTTGGAACCCTGGGGGTGACCCAGCCTGGTGTTCTTTTAGAAGCTCCTGCAGAGTGTTTGACTCCACTGTTCTCCAGCTGCCTAGTCTTTTTGAACATCAATTTTTTTTCTTAAATCCCGCCCCCCCCCCCCTTGTGTTTTAAGACAGGGTTTCTCTATGTAACAGCCCAGGCTGTCCTGGAACTCACTCTGTAGCCCAGGCTGGCCTCAAACTCACAGGGATCCACCTGCCTCTGCCTCCCGAGTGCTGGGATTAAAGGTTTGTGCCACCACTGCCCAGCCTGTTTTGTGCTTCTTAAAATATTTTTGATTTTGCCATTTTGTTCTACCTGTTTATTTTATATAGTTATATAGTTTTTGTTACTATGTCCCTCCGACCCCTAAATCTAGGCCATGTAATTTCTCCACATACAGTTTTAGGATGCCACACTTGGAAGCCAGGTGTGGTGGCTCAGACCTGTCACCCCAGCCCTCGGAGGCAGAGGCAGGAAGATTGGAAGTCTAAGGCCATCCTCAGCTACACATGGAGTTTGAGGCTAGCCTGGGCTACTTGAGATCCTGTCTCAAACAAAACAAAACAAACCCAGTAGCAGCACACTTCCGCTTCTTAACTTAATGGGGATCTTTGTACCTCTGTAGGTCCTTCCTGGAAACTGTTCCTCTGGGAACACAGGCTCTTTATTTAACCAAATTAACCTGATTGGGACATTGCATTGTTCCCTGGGACCTGAGTTATGTAGTAATGCAACAGAGAATTTAGAGTTTATTCCATTCCATGAGCTCCTCTCTGAGAGATTTCCCAGCAGCGGGTGAGTTACCGCAGCATCCTTGTCAAGGCAGGTGAGTGCCAGAGACATGGCACAGCCTGCCTAAGGCCGCCAGCTGGGTGTGAGTGGCAAAACCGTGATTTATAGACCGTTTATAGTGCCCCATGGTTTTTCTCACGGCCACACCAGAGGGACAGGCATTCAGTTTTTCTAAGTGATGTCAGCTACAAAAAGGGTCAAAATCCCCTGCTTTTCAGTTACTGACAGAACTAAGTCCACATTCCTTATTCTGTGGCCAGTGGCTGTCCATTAACTGAGCTGGTCACTCGAATATCCAGTCTCCTATCATGCAGGTGCTCGTGCGGTGTGCTACGCGCTACTTAAACATGGAGTTACAGCCTTGATCAAAGGAGACAAAAGTGTGACCTCACCGAGTTTCTGAAGGAGCCGAAGAGTAAATGAAGTGTGTAATTAGATAGTAAGAAGAGTCTGGGAGCAAAAGACAGAAGGGAAGGGAGGCAGAGCTTTAGGAACGACACCTGCTGGGGGCTGGAGGGATGGCTCAGTGGTTAACACTGCAGGCTCTTCCAGAGGACCCAGGTTCGGTTCCCAGCACTCACGTGTCAGCTCACGGTTGCAATTCGTTTCAGGTGATCTGCCGCCCTCTTCTGGCCTCAGTGGGAATTGCATGCAAGTGCTGCACAGAGGTCCATGTGGACAAAATACCCTTAGGAGCGGGCAAAACACTCATACAGGGTCTGGAGAGCTGGCGGTTAAGAGAACGTCCTGCTCTTCCAGAGGACCTGAATTCAATACTCAGAACCTACATGAGGTGCTCACAACCACCTGTAACTTCAGCTCCAGGGCATTCAATAACCTTTGGCCTCTGTGGTACCTGCACTCACATGCACACCCCCTCATACATAGACATAGTAACAATAACAAATAAAACCATGCATACACATATAAGCAATATAAATAAATATGTTTATATATGGGTGGGTATACACACACACACACACACACACACACACACACACACACACACACTTATTTATTTTGAGACCTGGCCATCCTGGCTGACACTTGCTCTGTAGACCAGGCTGGCCTCGAACTCACAGAGGTCTGCCTGCCTCTGCCTCCCAAGTACTGGGGTTAAAGGCGTGTGCCACCATCACCTGGCTAAATAATAAATCTTAAAAAGAAAGAGAGACTTCAAGAAGAATGAAGGGCAGATTCACTGATAAGCTGTAAGACTTTCCAAGAGTTTAGGGTGGGGGCTGTGCAGGCCACTGAGCCCCTGCGGCAGGAGCGGTCCATCTCTGAAGAACAGCCAGGAGGCCAGTGAGTCTGGCCTTGAAGGAAGAGAAAGCAGTAGAAGCTGGTGATGTACACAGACAGCCACAGCACTCGGGAGGCAGGGGCAGGAAGATCACATGACCTAGTGTGGAGAGTGAGCTTCAGGGTAGCCATGGAGACATAGCGAGACCCTGTCTCAAAAGCCAAAAGCCAACCCCAAATAAAAGCATGTGGCCAGAGAGAGGTGAGTGACAGCAGATCATAAGGGTCCTTGATGTCACCTGAAGGGCTTGTCCCCTCCCCCATACACACTGGGGGTCGAACCCAGGGTCTCACAAATGCCAGGCAGGTGCTCTATGACCAGGCTGTATTCCTAGCTCTTTTCTTTTCTTTCTTTCTTTTTCTTTTCTTTTCTTTTTGGTCTTTCAAGACAGGGTTTCTCTGTGTGTAGTACTGGCTGTCCTGGAACTTGCTCTGTAGGCCAGGCTAGCCCACCCAGAGATCCACTGGTCTCTGCCTCTCCAGTCTGGCACCGTGCTCAGCTAACTCTTTGCTTTTCCTTTGGAGGACTGTCTTAGTTAGGATTTCTATTGCTGTGACGAGACACCATGACCACAACAACTCTTATCAAGGGAAAACATTTAATTGGGGTAGCTCCTATTTCCAGAGGTTGATCTGTTAGCATCATGGTTCTACATGGTGCTGGAGGAGGAGCTGAGAGTGCTACATCTTAACCTGCAGGCAACAGGAAGCGGTCTGAGACACTGGGCATGGCTTGAGCATATATGAGACCTCAGAGCCCACCCTCACAGTGACACACTTCCTCCAGCAAGGCCACACCTAATCCAAAGCCACACTTCCTAATAGTGCCACTCCCCATGAGTTTGTGGGGGCCAGTTACATTCCGACCACTACAGAGATGGGGTCTGTCTAGCCCAGGAGACCCTGAATCCTCCTGCTCCTCTGGTCCCAACCTTCCCTGGAGGTGACAAGTGAGTGCTACCATCCCTGGCCAGGACTTTTCTTGAGTGTGACCAAGCCACGGGGAGGCTCCTGGGTCGGTGTTGGTGTCTGAAGCCGTTCCTCAAGCTCCTCCCACAGACACAGTGCCCGGGCCCTTCTCCCGCCCAGCTTTGCCTGGATTTGCCCCTCCTCACTCAGCTATGTCTTTCTGGTCCCGGGTGCCCCCGACGGGGCTTGGCTGCTTCTCTGAACCCAACCGGAAGGGTTCTGGGATGCCCCCCTGAAGCCAGAGGAATGGGGTCCCATGCCTGAAGAGTGCCCTGATGATCAGGACGGGAATGTGCCCCAAGGGTTGCGGTGGACATGAACATAGGGGAGCCGGTTCATCACCCCACTCACGCACTTAGAACTGGGCTGCGTTGAATGAATGAATATTTGGTATTGTGTCAAATTTGTAATTCTTAACTTTTTGTTTAGATTAGCGATGGGGGAGGGGCTAGCAAGGAGAGAAAGAGAGAAACAGCCAGCGTGGAGGTCAGAGGATAACTTGCAGGAGTCGGTTCTCTCCTACCGCCCTGTGCCCCCGGGGTTGGGGGGGTCGGGGGATGGGGGGTCATCAGGCTGATGGCAAGTGCCTTTACCTGCAGAGACATCTCGCCAGCCCCGAGCTAGCAACGCTAAACACGAAACAACTGTTTACACAGCGTCTTCCACAGGAAGCCGCGGATGCGCTGGGTCCTTTTGTGGCGCTGATGTTCGCGAGAGGTGAGGCGCTGCTGCGATTTTTCTGGAACAACCATTTGCTGTGAAGGACAGACAGACACAAGCCCTGCCCTCGGGCTGCTTCCCAAGGGGCAGGAGTCCTGCTGCGGTATCAAGCCCTCTCCAGCTCCGTCCCCCACTGCTGAGGGTCTGCGTTTGTGATGGTTTTGCCCAACTGCAGGTCTGTTGATGTCCGGAGGGGACAGATGGTGGGGGCAGCCTCCCGGACCTCCCGGGCCTCCCGCTGAAGCCGGAGAAGTCAGGAGCCTGGGAGGCCTGACCACACAGAGAACATCACAAGTGACCTTCCCACAAACTTCTGGGGCCTCTCCCTGGGTCATGCCCTCTGACCCTCTGACCCTGCAATTGTCACCTGTATCTAGATCTTCAGGACCGACTCCCCCTGGTCCACCTGCCCCCCCCCCCCCACTCCGATGTTCTGTGCAAAGCAGGAAGGAGTCGGGTCTCCAGTACTCAGAACTGAGTCCTGGCCCAGCCGCCCTCTCTTCCATAGCAGACCCCATCACCTGTTCCAGGTCTGTCTGCTCCGACCGGGCCAGGTCTCCTGCTTTCTCAGGTATATGGAGCCCCTCTTGGCTCTGAGGTTCCCTCAGGCCTTGCCTGCCCCCATCCCTCAGCCCTGCCTCCCACAGACATCTCTCCAGCCCCATCCCCGTCCTGTTTGCCCAGCAAGCCCCCCTTCTAGGGAGCTGGGGCCGAGTTGGTTAGGGCTGAGGCTCCACCTTGCTGCTGTTTCTTGTTGCCCGTGGCTCGGCCTGTTGGATTTGTTTTCCTCATTCTTTTGTCTCTTTCATCCTCTTTGGTTCTTTAGTCTGTCTCAGAGCCCCCTCCCACCCGCGAAAAGACTTTCCAGTCCTAAGAAAGTTCCTTAGCAGTTACAAGTTCTGGGTATCACATTTTGAGTTCTTAGTAGGTGTTACTTTAAAAAAAAAGTGAAATAAACATGATTTTATTGAGCACAGAACCTCTGTGTGTCTCCTTTGCAGAGGAGGGATTCCACGTGTTTCCACTTGTATCAGGAGCTATTGGGGGTCCAGCCCCAGATAACCCTTTCCCAGGGTCCGGGTAAGAATCTACAACCAGCTGAGGATCTAATCTTAGGAATATCAAATGAATGTACGCACACCGAGCTCTTTCAGTCCATTCGCTTTGTTCTTCTAAGTCAGTTCTACAAGTGGTGTGGGGGTACCGGTTATATATACTTACAAGCAGTAATTCTTCCGCAATGCAATGCGAGGTTTGAAGTTTTCAGGGTCATAGAGAGAGGTGATAAGATCCACACATAGAGCAGTGATTGTCAGCTTTCATTTACAACCCCAAAGGGGGGTGACTAATGGAAGTTCTCTGGTAGGGTCAACTAAGGGCTAAAATGGATTAGGGGATCTAAAGAGGAATTTATGAGCTCAGACTATATTCTTAGAAGTGGCTAGGTAAAAGGTTAGGAGTCAGTATGTTTTTAAAAGTCACGAGTAAAATAAAATTGCCTTTTTCCTTCAGCGCCATGTTTGGCTCAGCTTATCCCGGCAGCGCCACTTTCTGGCGGGGCAGGGGAAGTGTTCTCAGTTGCTAGGCAACCTGCGTCACAACATGTACCATCTGGTTCATAAAAGCACTTTTGCTCTGAGTTAATTGCTAAAGGGAGGACTCTTTAGAACTAAGGATAACACCTGGGCTATGGGATAAATGAGGAGGATTTAGCTTAATTTGCACAAGAAACAAAGCTTGGCACCTATCCTTGTCTGGCTGGTGTTGTCTCATTGGGTCAGTGGGAATGTTTACCTTGTCTCAGTAACTAGCAGATGGCCGTCCACCCTCCTGGTAATAGCAAGCAGTAAATCTCTTACATTAGGGTCTTGTGTTAATAAACCAGGGTGAAAGTGAGGGGTTAAGGAGTTAAGGTTAGTGAGGTTGGCTTCTCCTATCTGTAGACGAGATGAGCTCAGGACATGCTAATGCTTATCTATCTGCGGTCTGTCCTTGGATGTCTGAGAAGTGTCTCGGATGAAATACTTTTGTCCGGAGAGGGCACAGGCCAGATGTCTGCTAATGAAGATAATTACAGAAAGGCAGACTCTAAGTCTATGCTAGAATAAGAGGAACAAAGGCCTGATTATGGGAAAGGGGTCTGGACTATGTGACTGTTAACAGACACAGCTGGGGATGTTATCCAAATACCCCAAATGTATTGGGGAAGTTGTGCCCAGGGAATGATCAACCACACTGTTAGAAGTTCTTGGGAAAATAATCAGATGGGAAAGCTACAACAGCACACAGGAAATTCCCTGCAGGAGACAGCTAACACATTCAAAAGCCAGTATCACCAAACTCCTTGAGTTTTGGTTTCCCTCTGGCAGAGTCCTTGGCTCTACCAGGTTTCCAGCCTTGTAGTGCCAGCCGAATTCCCACTTCATGTTTCTGTGGCTTGCAGCAACATATACCCATCTCTGTCCTTCCAAAGAGAAATGTTCCCCAGCTTTGTTAATCTTTGGGGTTGACTAGATGGCTTAGCCAGTAAAGGGGCTTGCCAACAAGTCTGATGGCCTGAGTTCAATCCCAGAGACCCACATGAGAAGGAGGGACCTGACTCCAGAAAGTTGTCCTATATGCACACACACATAGACACACAGGATAAAATACAGTTTAAATATATTTTGAAATCCTTTGAGTAGATATTCCTGTGGTTTCAAAATCAAAGCAATAGGAAAAGAATTAAAATGAAAATCCTTCTTATGCCCTTGTATAGCCCTTAATTATACCAAGAAATATATATACATACTATATATACATATATGTATATACACACACTATACTGCGCACCATGTATTCCTCCAGTGGTAGCTGAGAGGAACTGGCTGTTTTAATGCCCTTCTCAAATCCATAATGCTCCTCTCAAAAGAGAGAGAGAGAGAGAGAGAGAGAGAGAGAGAGAGAGAGAGAGAGAGAGAGAGAGAGCGCGCGCTGGGTGGTGGTGGCGCACACCTTTAACCCCAGCATTCAAGAGGCAGAGGCAGGTGGACCTCTATGAGTTCGAGGCCAGCCTGGTCTACAAAGAGTGTTCCAGGACACAGAGAAACCCTGTCTCGAAAATAACAAAAACAAACAAACAAAGAGAATGACAGGTGTGACTAACAGGCCTTGGGGAGACCCTGCCACCCCCACAGACCCTAGCTGTCCCCTGCTTGCCTCTGCTGACTGAGGGACAGAAAGGCATCCTTCCACAGTTGGAGGGAGGGTAGGGTCTACAGCAGCCTTGTGTCATAGACTTTTTTGGTGGGCCACCGACCAGCTCCCAATTCATGGGACGGAGACTTCTCATTAGTCATAAATGCTCAGTCTTATCTTAGGCTTGTCCCACTAGCTCTTATAACTTAGTTTAACCTGTTTCTCTTCTTCTATGTTTTGCCTCGGGGCTTTTTACCTTTCTGTCATTCTGCATGTCCTACTCTGTGTCTGGCTGGCTGGTGGCTGACAGGCCCCAGGCATCTCCCTCCGATTCTCCCTCATTTTCTTCTCTCTGTCCGCCAGCCCTGCCTCGCTGTCGGCCGTTCAGCTCTTTATTAGACCAGTCAGGTGCCTTAGGCAGGCAAGGTGAAATGGTAACACATCTTTACATCGTTAAACAAATGCAGCACAAACAAACGTAGCCCATCTTTACATAGCTCTAGTAATATTCCACAGCAGCTTTGCTTGGAGCAGGCTCAGGGGGAGGGCTAGCCTGGAGAGACGCAGCAGAAAGAGAAGGTGCAGTGTGGCCACAGGGGACAGGGACTTCACCGCCACCCTCGGTTGCTTGCCTGTTCCATTGGCAAGTCCTTGGAGGTCCACACTGGTGGGGGCATTGAACGTCATCTCTGGTGACTCTTGTATTCCAAAAAAGAAATCCAAGTTTCTGCCTAAGGCGTTCTCACTCCAGTTCCATTCTTTCTGGAGAGAGGGCGGCACAGGGGGACATGTGAGGGTGTAGAATGATTAGTTGCCTTGGTAAATGCAAACACACAGCCTTCTGGTGCTTTGAAGTTCAAGAGCTTGTCTTGGGACCAGCTGTGTGCTATTGGGTTGGGGGTGGGAGGTGGAAGGTGAGTGTAGTCTGTTTCCAGGCAGACCTGGGGCAGGGGTGGGGCAGGGCTTGATAGGATTGTGGAAGCTGCTAACTGCCCCCTCCACCATGATCCCCCTTTCAGGTGCCCTCAGCAAAGACCTCCGAAATGCTTGCTTTTTCTGAACCTTGGTTAAAACAACACCCTGGGCATGGTGGCACACGCCTTCAGTCCTAGCACTTGGGAGGCAGAGGCAGGTGGATATCTGTGAGTTCGAGGCCAGCCTGGTCTACAGGTCAGCCAGAGCCATGTAGTATGTCAAAACAACAGAAATCCAATAACAACAAATCATGATTTTTATTTTTATTTTTATTTTTCGGTTTTTTGAGACAGGATCTCTCTGTGTATCCTTGGCTGTCCTGCAATTCACTCTGTTAACCAGGATGGCCTTGAACTCAGAAAGATCCACCTGCCTCTGCCTCCATAGTGCTGGAATTAAAGGTGTGCACAACTACCACCCAGCTACAAATCTTTATTATTAACTAAAGACATAAGGATCGAACTTTTTTTCTTAAGATTCTATGTTTGGGCCAGAAAGATGGCTCAATGGTTAAGAGCACTAGCTGTTCTTCCAGAGGTCCTGAGTTCAATTCCTAACAACCACATGATGGCTCACAACCATCTATAATCAGATCTGGCGCCCTCTGCTGGTGTGCAGGCACACATGCAGACAGAGCACTATACATAATAATAAATAAATAAATCTTTAAAAAAAATTCTATTTGTAATTTAATTATGTGTCTGTGTATGTATGTTCATGTGCATGTGTGATTTCAGTGCCCATTGGATGTCCTGGAGCTGGGAGCCACCTGACAGAGTCCTGGGAACTGAACCGGGGTCCTCTGCAAGAGCAGCAAGTGCTCGTAACTGCTGAGGTATCTCTACAGGCCTGTAGAAAATTTAACATGACATCTAAGAATAATAATAGTCAAATTCAGGTTCAAGACCTATATGTCTCCCAGGAGCCCAGGACACCATGTTTCTGTAAGACCAAACTTCCCAGGCTTAGAGGCACAATAGTCATGGTTGGAAGAAATGAATGTGTAGCCTGGGGTTTCCTGGAGTTCACCAGAAGAAAGGTGGAGAGCCCATGAGGGAGTCGGGAAAATGTTCTCAGGCCATCAGGGACGAGGCAACTGATGTTCAAACTCAGTGTGGACAGAGGAGGGCACACCCTGGGCGATGCTCTGTCAGAGCACGGTCCAGGACTGGAGCCGCGTGAAGAGAATTCCGAGGGCTGTGGGAACATGCTGAGAAAAGAGCCTTGTGGCCTTAGTTTCTTTAGAACATGGAATTGTTCTTGGAATGTGTTTCCGTGCTCCCCGCAGGTGTAGCGGGTAGGAGTGAATCTACTTCAGATTACCCATTTCTGCGTGCTGCTGTTATTTGGTTAAACGTTTAAACTATCCTTTATACGTCTCTATGGAGGACAGGTTTTTGCCGTGTGTGGCTTGTTCTTGTGATTGTATGCAGCTTGAACTCATGTGACCTTTATTCCTGTGATTCCGCTTAACCCTTAGAGTGTGAAATGTCTGAGGCTCTGAACATGGCTCCTGCAGGAGACTTTCCTCCACCTCACTTCGTGGCTCCGTTTTCCCAGGTCTGACTACACTCCTTGGGGCTGTACACACTGATGGGCCATCCCTGATGGTTGTGTCCAAGTGTGTGTGTGTGTGTGTGTCCTTGTCACCTCGTGCACAGGGTGGAAGGAGCTACTG